TTCCTTCACATGTACGGTAAGTGATTACTTAAACTTAAAAACAACCCCAGTGAACTGACATTTATAAATGCCAGGGCATATGTTAGTTACATTCCAAAAAATTGCTGTCATGTTGATACCACTTGCAGCAACATACATTAAGAATGCACCTTGTAGTGGTAGATGAATAACAAAGACAGTCACGGAAATGACGTTGGTAGCCAGTGGCCACATGAAAATGTGTTCCAAACGTGCATGCGCCAAGGGCAAAAGCAGTTACCTTGGGGCATGCCTATGGTTCGTGTTTACCATCTCTTAGTACTAAAACAGGGTGTCCTACTGGTACATTTAGGGAGGGTTGAGCTTTGAGAATACATTGCCATAGCCATTGCCCTGAAAGCCAATTTTGGAATTGGCTACAAAGGTCTTATACGCACAACACATGTATAATGCTGCTGCTGCGATAACAGTCCATCAAACTTTTCCATTGCTTTATAAGGACAGGAAATAGATATGTGGACCATATTATTTGTTTTTGATTGTTGTAGCCTTTAACTTTTAATCAGCAGCGTATATCAAGCTTTTGCTGTGGGGGGGGGAATTCAAAAGTGCATGCAGCTTCGGGCTCATTCAACTTGATACTTTGGGGAGAAAAAAATTCCAAAGCCTTACTCTCGGTTCCGACATCCCAACTTTTATTAGCTGGAGTTGTTTTCTCATGGTTTTAGTGCTAATATTTTTCTTACCTCCTCACCTACGAAGGATTCTTTGTAAAAAAAAAATTGTCAGGGGCAAGTTGCCGCCAGCCCCCCGCATGCCACTGCTTTTAGTGTGAGAATTCCCCTCAGCATAATGAAAATAACCTGAAATGATTGAGTCTTATTTTCATTGACCGAGAAATCATCAGCCCTGTAATAAATATTAAAAATGCCCTGTACCAACAAGATTAGTAATATGGGTAATTAGGGGGTCCATTTTTTGTTAGTCCCTGTCACATCTGACATATTATTTTGTAAGTTCAGAACACATTTTCTAATTTCCATAAGTGATGAGTTAATGCAAATTATCTGCCAAACAAACAATGATAGTTTGAAATCAATTCTGGTGATATTTCCATGTCAAATAACAAAGGTCAGATTCAACAGGGACACCAAAAAGTCACACTTTTGGACCACCTAATTCCTGGAATTACCTATATACTGTACATGTATATGTATGTCAGTATAAGGTCATGCTATAGCTTACTTTATACAGGTCGGCCTATAACATATACATGTACATGTACGTTGGGTGAGGACAAAACCTGTAATTACAAAATGTAACATCTCCCCAATGCAAAGTACATTTTGAACATAGAATAAGTATTGTTCTGAAATGGGGAAATGTTTTATTCCAAAGTGTTCATAATGACATCTTTGAGAGTCTGATTTGGTAAAATTCCTTCTGGTACCATCTTGAGATCCCATTCTGATTTAAAATTGAAATTTAAAATTGACTCTCTTTTTCAACATTGGATAGCTTTTTCCCCAAAGTCAAGTCTGGTGAACATCCCCCTTCACCGTTCCCACAGTTACCTTCACTTTCCACTGACTGTGGCCGAGCTCTAAGGCACATCTGCATTTTTTGGGTACCTGTGGGAAATTGATGTTGTCTCGAGAGGCATGTAATCCTGAACATGTGTTGAATTTGACACAGACTCATTACATGATGAAAGCCTTGGTTCTTTGGCCACAGCTGGTCAAACGATTGCCCATTTTTTTCCCCTCTATTTGAAATGATGAAATAATTGATTGTGTCCTTCGTAGCAATGTTGTTAAACATTAACACAGGAGTTTGGCCCACAGCAATCTGGATGAATGGAAAAAACACAGCTGGAATGACAACCGTTTGTGATACGCATAACCAGCGATGTATGTCATTGCCAAGGCCACACTCTGGATAATTTAAAAATAAGAAGGGCACTTCATTAAGGTGAAAGTTTCGGATTGAGGATTCTTTTCATCGTAGAGCAAGGAACAGGTCCTTGCTCTGTTCTCATGAACACGGCAGGGTGGAAACAAGGACCTGATTCCCCAACCCCTTCCCCCTCGTGTTCGTTCATCTCTTGCAACCTTTCCAGCTGTCACGAGGACAGGCCAAAAATTATTCATTGCTGGCCCTAGTTTTTTTCTGAATCTTAAGTACTGGTGAAGACATCTTTATAGTAGGCCTAAAACATAATCACATCTTGCTTTGTTTGCATGTTTGCTTTCCTACGACGTCTTGATGGATCGTACGTGTCCAACCTCACAGCCATGAGAAAGCGCTTTTGTGAACAAAGTGTGATGTACCATAACCAACCAGAGTACTTGGCAGAGTTTGAAAATGGGCTTAGATAGCTCTGAGGGGGTAACCTTTCAAAACGTCTGCTGGGAGTGGACAGACGGTCTTTAAAACTGCACAAGAAATGGCTGGTAGATATTTTAATCCTAGATGAAACCCTCTCACCTCTTATAATATTGGGGCATTGTAATGGAGTATAACTACATAAAGTGGAGTGTATTTACGAGAATCTAATTTCTGAATCACACATAGAACGTTTCGTAAGCAGTTTCCCTGAATTCTGAAACATCAATTAATTACGTACACAGAGTTTATGTGTACATGATGCATTAGTCTGTATGGGGTCTGCTCATTTGACATCACAATCAGGTTTTTCCTACAACTGGCTGCTAAACATATGGTTGGCTGCCGGTACAAAGGTACAAGCATTATTTACCAAGTGTTAAAACACCCGCTCAGCTATCATAGTACCAGATAATAATAAACGCATTCTAAAGTTGATATTTATGCAAACTTTGGCCACCCATACAAGTTGTGGGCAAAATGCGAGTGGTCTATACAGTTTGTCAGTTAAGTAAAAAAAATTTACCTGTGTAATGTAATTTTTGTTGTTGTCCTGCACATCAGTAGTACTCATTGTAGGATCGGTATTTTTAACATGGATGTCAGGTGACCATGCACGGCATCAGGGAATTAATTTATTTTTTCTAATTGAATGTGCATGCCTACCAGTCATGTCCATTTGGTGGAACTGGTATGGTTTTTAAGTTTCCCAATTTTCGTGATGAATTCAAAGAATAAATACCCTTGCTGTAAAACAGAAAGGTGGAAGAAGATTGGTGTCACTGCTACCATAAAATTATTGTTCTGAAATCCAAGAGGGAATTGTGGTATATGATGATAAGTTGCAGACAGGGATAGTGCAGTACGTGTGAGTTTTCATTAATTCACTGCTAAACAGATAGACTGCAGTAACATAATGGCAGTAGGCTTTGTTTACATGTGTGCCTTCTGTTGACAGTTGGGTAGGACGTGATCCATCAAGTCCCCGCAGGAAAGCACACATGTAAACAAAGCGTGACGTCATTATGTTTTAGATGTGCTGGTATTGAGTGCTCAGTGCAGCGGGTTTGCATTAAAAAATCATTGTAATTAGTACACTAATGCTGTTGTTCCAATAATGAAAGATTGCTTGCCTTGCTGCCTTGTGTGTATGCATTAATTGGCCTTGCTTTAAGTGCAAGCCATGTAGGTACAATCCGTGTCCAAGTCACGAGTCATTGATGTGAAGGATGTGGTGCTGTCACGAAGTCAGTCACTCAGCCCCAAAATTAATTCATCGAAAGAACGATATGCAAACTCTTCAATTTACCTGTAGCTCTTTGCTTGGTTCTGTCCTTTTGTTCGTGCTTGCAGCAATAACCAGGGGTCAATTTTATAGCACTGCTTCAGCGAAAAATTTGTTTAAGCTTGTAAAAAAACCTTGTTTTAACAAATCAGGTTACCAGTCAAAAGTTCTTGTGATGTGTATTATTTTGGAATAGTATTTACATTTCTTTTGAAACAAATCATATAGGGAAACTGACTATAAATTATTGTAAAGAAGAACAAAGAAATTGACTGGAGCGGGATTTGGACCTGCGACCTCCGGTGCCATACCGGTGCTCTACCAACTGAGCTATCCAGCCCTATTTTGGTTGCTTTTCCCATTTGCCAATATCTCTGTTCGGGGGGGCGCTAGCCAGAAGACATTAAACCTGAAACACCATGTAGCCAGGGATCACACCCCAATTACATGATACAACCTGGGAAGTGGTGAATAGGGATCACTCAAAGAGATATACAGCTTGTTGAACATAAATCATGAAACAAATACGAATTATTATAAAGATTATTATAAAAGATTGTTATAAAGATTATTATGTTGACAAATGGGGAAGAGCCACCAACATAGGACTGGATAGCTCAGTTGGTAGAGCACTGGTATGGTATTCCAGGGAGGGAGCTTCAGCAGAAATCCCAGCACAACTTGAGTCAAAGAGCCCTTAGGGCTGATTCATTAGAGTAATTCACTATTTGAATATTCAACCTTCAATTTGATCGTATATCTGAATATTTGGCCGTACCAAGTGGCAGATTATTAATGAATAGTCCATGTACAAAATAAGTTGCAATAACGCACACAATTGTACATTGTAATCACGATAATAGCTTCTCACATTTAGGAGTATCTCCAGCCATGATTTTGCAAGATTTAGAGACAAACAATAAATCTTGTAATTTTGTAATGAATAATTTACTTTTTGAATCGTTGGAAGATTTCTGTCACTTTTCATTTGAATCTGCTTGAAACAAGCCTCCACAGCGCAATTGTTTTCATTTAAAACAAAAGAAAGTTTTCCCTTCATTTTTATGAATTTTGCATTCAAATCTTTGAATTCGGTATTCGAATATTTGATACACGATTGAATATCCAGATACTTGGATATTCGGCACAACCCTATGGGCCTTTTTGTAGGTCGGGCAAAGATTTTGACTGTATATATATAGTTAGGATGTGACACTCGGCTATTTCATATCCAATTCAGGATATACACATCTGGTGGTATTGACCTGCTCATTTATAAATTGATCAAATGATTCAACATTATAAGAAGATGTTCATTAATCTGTCTTTTTCTGTATTGTTTTCTCTGCAGATTTAGCACTGTATTAGCCTGTTTAATCTTCAGCGTCCTGTCCACAATACCTTCCTGTAAATTTGCCGAAGGAGTCTTGTTTTACATGGTCAGTACACATTCCTCCTAAAATTTATTATGGAATATTGTATTATACCAAAATGTCGGTGTAAGGGCAAAACCCATAATTAAAAAACAGCTGTGCTATCATTCTGTTGTTTGCATGGTTTTTAGTTATGTACATGTACAGTACATGTTGATCAAGCTGCATTCACTTTATTACTGTACTCTGTACATGTACATGTATGTATTTGAGTTTATCATGACTGCTGAGTGGTGTCTCATCGTGTCTGTCTGTGTATCTCCAGTTGTCTGTCTGTCCACATGGACATTCTTTTCAAACACAGCAATCCAAAGCAGCTGTGACTTTTGGCTTCCTCTCCTCCATGACTTAGGCCCCTTAGATAAATACTTTTGTATGCATGCTGACCAGTTTATCCGCATTGAGGACACTGGGTAAATTTCTGGTTGGGGGGGATGCTGATGCAGTCTCGTCTCCATCATAACTTGGTGCAACATCCTTAAAGACGCTTTATCGCGGGTGTTCTTTAACATTTTTCGAATAGCACCATCCAGCGAATGTAGTGTACTTAAATGCAACCTCATTCCCATTAATACTACCTTGCTCCGCCATGTTGGTTCCTGCGCCATGCCCTTCCTGATCTTAAAGGAACGCGCTTGCAGCCCTTGGAGTCGAGGTTGAATTGAGTGACCTTATGAGGTCAGCGTCTAAAAGTGCATTAGGAAGCAAACCAGTATGACAAGATTGTCTTTAAATATTGTTGTTGTTCTTGCTTTGTTGTTGAAGGCTTTACTGGGCATTCTGTCATGGGGAATGCAGTGTTTATGAGATATTTTCCTGAAATTGTGTCCAAATGTCCAAAAATAGAAACATAGTAAAAAAATTACACTTTTTTACAGTAACTCTGTTTGTTTACAGCAACTTGCACTTATTTGTAACTTCTTTATTGGTGTATTTTCCTTCTCAAATTACATAATTTGCTTGTAAGTTACACATATTACTTCCTTCTCTTTTCTGTCAATGATTTGTAGTTGAATATCACTCGCTTTTGAAGTTTAATTTCAAGGGGTTTCAAAGGTTAAACACATTTTATTATTCAAAATTACTAATACAGGGGTTTTAACTGGGAGGAGCAGGTGAATTGAGGGATATTCAGTACTGTAGCTCGCAGTATCTCCAATTGCCTATTGATCGTTGGAAACATGGCCTTCTACGTTGGGTGGGCCCACAAGCCACACCATTGTCAGTAACCCCAGCTGATGGCTCTACTGTACATGTATCTGGTCTCGTTTCCTTCACCAGACTTTCATCTTTCTACACTATATTCAAGTGTTTCTCACTCCGATTTGTGTGAGATTTAGGCTGCACTTGAAGTGGAAACATTATTTTCTTTTCATGAGGTTTTTTACGTCAATCTTTCATTGATCTTCCAACAGAAGACGCAAGGTAATTTTTGGAGTTTAAGCGCAACACTATCAAAACCATCAACTTTCACAGAAATTCCAAACTCCTTTTCTCACTCAGTTTACTTTTCTGGGTGACAAGCGTTCACCTGTGGTTTTCCTGTCCTATAAAAGGCTCCGTCAAGGTACATATACCCCCCACCATCGACTTGTTTGTCTGTTGATGCGTACACTAATCAATAAAATCCTCTTAATGAAAAGATGACATTTACATGTACCTGCAGGTGGTGTTAAGTGAACAAAATGCACTTTGTGTTTGATATTCTGATAAAAGCAGGCCTGGCATTATGTTGTGTATTTTCCTGTTATCTAAGGGAATAGTACGTGAACATTCTACCTCCATGTACACGTCCTTGTGTATGCGTGTGTATGACTTTCAGAAGTTTGTAGCATATTTCTTGTGCAGGAATATCTCTGGTGTGAAGTGATGGAATTGGTGGACATATTGGGGCTTGGAATTTGAAGGCTGGAGGTGGGGATGGGAGGCTGCCACAGATGATGCAGTGTCCTGAGACATTTTGCTGTTATGTTGTTCAAGGGGTGCCAAATACCAACCGCGATGTCTTTTGACATATATGCAATTTCCATAATTCACATCACCCTATTTTTAAGTTGTAGAGATCAATTCGTTATGTGCCAAATAAAAGGACGTAAGCGGCCCAAACATGTAACTGTTACTTTTTGAGGCAATCAAGTTCCAAGGATTTTGTGCTCCCATTTGTTAATTTAAAATGAAATTTAGACTGATGAAATTTCATTAATAATTAAAAGAATGGACCACAGTTTAATGTTAAAAAGCTTAATTTGTAAAGTAATTTACATTTTAGGCTCACAACATTTTGCCCACTGTGTGCACTGAAGCAGCATGTTCTATTCTAATGACCTTCTGCTGTGAGTAAACTTTGCTTTACATCCGCACTGCAGTATTGGTACTTGGTATTATGCTAATGCCCTATTTTGGGCAATAACATGTACCTTAGAGTGACATTGCCCTTTCAATGAGAAATATATCATTGCTCTATCGATTTCCCCAAAAACCTAAGTTTGATCTTTGACCCTGTCTCACCCTGACAGCTTTCCAGGCACCTGTCTACACAACCTGAAATTTTTAGAAGTCTCTTGAATGAAACCTGTCACACAGCTAGAAATACATGTTGGTCATTGCCAACGAGGAATATGGAAACATTATTTCCTTTTCAAGCTTTTTACAATGTATATGTACCTTAGAAATAATTAATTGGTGCTGGAAGAAGGATGGCATATGGACCAAACCGTCAGGCAAATTTTATGAGACCCGCTTCAAAACTTGGTTTGTACCTAAAGCCATCCTCCAGGCTGGAAAAGAGTTCATCCTTTTAACATCAAGAAGTACTGGAGTGTAATAAGGGTCTTGTCTACCTCTCATGAACCTGATTCCTTCTGCTAGCCATCAGATATAATCCGTCGTTGAACTTTGCACAGAGCCTAGGATTAACCTGTGGTCAGACATGGCGAGTGCACTTGTTTGAAGTCTAGAATTCCCTCTCTTTTATGGGTACATCTAGCTGTGCAGGGAAAAATAAGATTAATTTTGACCTGTGGAAGCTTTGAGTACTTGAGCGTGGCAGGAGGGCACAGATGCGGAAATGGCTTGTTTTTTTATCATGATTTATTTCATGAAAGTCTTGTTTATTCATGATTGCCTTATTAGTTTTTTGTTGATGGTATAAAGTCCCTCAAAGGCTTCAGGCTTGAACTGAAGAAGAAAAAAATCACATTTCGAGAAAGACCATGCACAAACCCATAAGAACAATTTTGGGGTGGAAAACCCAATCAGTTAGGTAAGGACTTGTCTTGGGAAGAGTGGAAAGATTCAACAGTCAATCTGACCAAATTTTCCTTTCCGTGGGGATGAAGTGGGAGTGTAGAGTTGGTTGTAGGAGGATGGAGTTCCTATGAGCCTGGAGCTGGACCGAGAGAGGGCGCAATTTTCTCAGCAATGGAGGCTCCTGTGGTTGGAACTGAACTTAGCTGGTTTACGAATGCCAAACTAACTCATTCGTTACAGTCCCATGACTACCAAGCACTCCTGACCAATATGGCTCCGTTCAACCTATGAGGGGGTAGTTCTGCTTGAGGTAGATATCACTATAGGTAGTGTTATTCTCTACAAAAACCCTGAATTTGTGTTTCTACTGGTTAACAGTTGCCCCTAGTCAGAATATGGAGGGATCACTTATTTTCATCAATTTGTGAGCAACATTTTGATCAGATTTTTACACTGTTTGACAACTAGTTAATTTTCTTTTTGCCCTAGGGGGTGTAATCAACTCATCTGATTGTTGCTTTTGAGAATAAATTGTCTTTTGGCCTTGGAGGCATGCTGGTGCCAGCTTAATGTTATCTTTTCCCTGATGAATTTATTGGTCAGAACATTTATATGAACTGTTTAAAGATGTCATCTTTTTTCCTCCAAAGAGCAGCAACTATGTAAGAACTCACTCTTTGCTTGTTGGAATTAATGTGCAAGCAGTACATCACGATTTAAATTTAACACTGTGAATTGGGGCAGGAAATTTTGTGAAGAGAGTTTAACATTTGCACTCACATTTCACCGGGCATGAAAATGATTTTCTGCCCGTGTGAAAACGTGTCAAAATCTTTTCCCATTTGTGTGAAAATCCATTACAATTCTTTCCCCGCTTGTGGGAAAATCTGTGGAAATCTTTTTTCCACTTTGAGATTAACTTTGGCAACAAATTTGAAAACCTGCAAAGTTTCTGAGAAATCCATTGCTTTAATTAACATTTTCCACCAACAATGTGCAAGTATGATCCATTCTTTTTTCATTAATACGTCCCCCCTTGGGGCATCCATTTTGCTCTTGTTTGTACAGGAAATCATTCTAGTGATGTTCTTCAGCTGTGAGTACCTCATCCGTATGTGGTCGGCAGGCTGCCGCCAACAGTACCAGGGCCTAAGGGGGCGATTCAAGTTTGCTAGAAAGCCCATCTTAATAATAGGTAAGGAGTACTGGATGTGTCATTGAATCTCACTGCAACTTATTCATCTCCATGCATCCATGTACGTAGATCCTGAAGGTATTGTAGGGGCATTGCAAGATCACTGTTGTACTGTGTAATGTACATGTACATGTAGATGGGAATGCTGCCTGTTGGTAAGGGTTGGTGACTTGCAATCAGAGGGTCAAGGGTTCAAATCCAGTTACTGGTCATGTGATGCAGCCCTGAGGAAGTCCCCTTACCCTCACTTGCCCTTCTTCTCCTCTTGAGAGTGTGAATAGCTACCGGTGGTCAATGGGCAGTGGAATCGTTCTCAATTGTTCCATGCACAGGAAACAAGAAAAAAGAAATCTGGCCCGATATGAACCATATGATTGGCTCCAGATAGATTTTTACTTTTATATTGCACAGAGATCCAAATGTCTGGCATTATGTTTACATTAGAGGCTGTGGCACCATCAGGATGGTTTTAAAACACCAAGTGCTCGAATTATTCAGGCGTTAGCTAATTGGTCGCCTTCAAGAGATTCTGTGTTTCGGTTGCAGTGCACACATACAATATGTATAAGCATCAAGGGCTTAATTTTCCCAGGGAAGAATTTCTTTAACGTGTGGCACAGCATTGCTTTATCTTAGGGCAAAAAGGCAAAATCTCATGAGTGCGCGTACACGTTGCTTTGTGCAGTCAGTAAAGATCTAGGAAAGTGGGATGCATAGAAAATAAACATGTACATTAAGTTTGAAAGGCTAATTGAAAGTAGAACTGAATTATCTACAGTTTGCACCATAGTTTACCATTGCCACCCAAAGTAGTCATTCTAATGTATGATTCTTCCTAAAATGTGCTGTACAAATACCCAAATTTAATGTACACATCTCATTTCATGTTCATCTCCAATCATGGTGAGACTAATCTCATACCAATTAAGATTTGTTATCACTTTCCCCCCCCCATCTGTTTGGGTAAAGCCTTGGGACATTCTCAATTACTCAAGAAAAACAGGGATGTCACACATTATACATGTGCCTTCCCATCCAACTAATTGGGTGAAGTCCCCTGTCCTACCGTCCACAAACTTAGACCCTTTTTCCCAATATGAAAACACGTGCCAGACATCAGACAGAGAAGGCCGAGTCATTTCGTACCCAATCAATGCCCAATCAATTACATGCACAATGAACCGGACAACCACCCACTGAAAGAAAAACACCATTACATGATTAAGGCATTTAAGGTTACATATTAGGTGTAACCTTGCCTCCACTTTAAGAGCGTAACAAGCGCTTATATGGACACAGCGCCAGCTGATTCAATTTTGTTACGGGTGATGCAACCACTGCCTGGTTGGGAAGTCAGTACGTACTGGGGAGGGCTACGGTAGGTTGGGTGTGGAAATTCATTTCTGTGCATAATAAGGAAGTCCAACTTTAAATTTCACAGTTGTTCCAGTTTTACACATTCAAGATAAAAGAGCAACAATATCAAAACAACAATATCCTGACATCCCATGAATTTTATCAATTAATCCACAGAAGCCAGTCTTTCAATGTACCGACAAGTGTGAGACTTGGCCATTGCACACTCGTGTACACTTAAACATTCTCATACAAAGCAGACATTTTCATTATTTTTTCTCCTGTGTTCTAAGAAAAAATGCCAATGTCATTCTTAGCTACAGATCCATGCTGTTTGGGCAATGAAAACCGTTTGCTGGGGCAGCTTTGTTGCAGATACTGCCAATGTCTCCTGATGAACTGACAGGCATTTTGTCACCTGTGCGCACACTGCAAACAAAATTTTTAACTCTCACTTTTGAGCCACTGTTTGTAATGCAGTTAACCTTTGCTAAAAGTCACGGTCAAAGGAAACTAACATCTGTTACGATCTCACAGAGATATGATTAGAGCAAATAGACTAATGCCTATGTTAAATAATAAACATTGACTTTGCCTACGACTGTCAGATTTCTGGAAGAGAGTTCAGAGGAGATAGAGATATCCCCTACAGTACACTGACTCTGTCTCACAAATGAGGAACAAATCCAATAAGTTTATATTTGATATGTGAGACGATAGCATTAAATGTTCAAATGGCAACAGGGATTGAGTGACTTGGACTGAAGAAGCAGTATGGAGGCTGGTTTGATTGATGAGCCCTTTTAGTTAATAGAAAAACTCAATACTCTTGCAAACCTGACATTGCTGTGGAGCCCTCTCCGGACCATCGGAGGATGGGAAAAAAAGACACAGCAAAGAATCCTTGTCTATAGGTCATAGCAATGCCGATCTAGCTGAGCCTGGGGTCAAGCCTGATGCTGGTCTCTCTGTGCGCACCAAGAAGAAAGAGAAAAGCAGAATCAGTGGCATCAGCATTGGAAGTAATCAAAGTTTTTGATATGATTGAATTCTTCAAGGAGGAAAGAATGAATGAACCAAGTCATGTCAGTTAGACTCTGCCCCGAATAAACACCACATTGCATGATAGTTTCTCCATACTTACCAGTCCAAATCAAGGTACTTACTCAAACAATTTAAGCAAGAGTGTGTGAGTCCTCATTTTTCAAAGTACACAAAGCATTGAAGTTGAGGCTCTGAGCCTGCAACTGTTTTATCACTTCAAGGCCTTCATTACTAGTTATTGTCCACATTGTAGTGGACTATGGCCCAGCAAGTTTGTCTGTAGTATTCACATGATTACAGTGCATGCGATTGTTCATATAGTGATTGTTCATAATTATGTACATGTGCATGCATGTACACCCAGCACGATTTGTGACAGGACACCCCCATATCCCAGTCCCTCCCCAAAGAATTCCTTTATATTTGCTTGGATATTTGAAATATACTGGAAACATGGTGGTTGAAGCTCCCCAGTGTCATATATCTTGAAACAAAAGACGCCCAAAAGAATTACATCGTACTGATGTGAAAAGAATAGCTTCCTTTTTTCAGTTTTCTGGAAAAGTGATGTTGTAGCTTGGATACCAACAACAGAATGTTGATCGAAACCCTCTAAAATGTTCATCTGGAAATAAACATGTACCCTGAAGTATGAATACAATTCTAACTTTGAATTTAGCTAAGTTCACAGCATTTGGCATCTCAATGGGAAAGTTTTATAGACACAGGAAATAAGTTGAAAACGTGGCCCGATGTAAATGTACTCTTATTAAAAGAATGTACATACAGTTGCACCTAAGACAATGCAGCTACTAGGTGTCTACCACGGACTAGCAGGGAGCTCCCTGGAAATCTGCAACTGGTCCATATAAATTTGTGCTTGGCATCACCATCTCCATGAGTATCATGAAATAAAAGTTTTTAAAGTTGTGATGCTCGTTGCAAGCTTCTATAATCCCCCCATTTTGTAGGGGTATGGCAGCTGCTGATTGCCCACCAACACACAGGGATTGTCACCAAAGTTCCTCCATTTCAAAGCAATGTTTCCTTTTTGTGCCTTTCATCAACAGGGAAGTGGCATGTGACACGTCTCAAATGTTGTAATGATTGTTTATTTGGCATGAGATGAACAGTACGTCTGAAACGGGCCAAACTGTCCTGAAGAGATGTGAAAAGAGAAGACAATGAAGAGCCTGTTTGTTTCACTCAGATCTGGATCTTGATCAGTTATCCAAAAGCTGGTTCACCATTAGGCGGGTTTTGGTGTCAGTAAACCGACATCGTATCACTGATCCTGATCTGGATCTGTGTGAAACAAACTGGCCCGTCGATTGAAGAAACATCCAGTTTAAGCTGGTTCACCCATTAGGCGGGTTTTGGTGTCAGTAAACCAACATTGGATCACTGATCCTGATCCGGATCTGTGTGAAACAAACTGGCCCGTCGATTGAAGAAACGTCCAGTTTAAGCTGGTTCACCATTAGGCAGGTTTTGGTGTCAGTAAACCAACATCGGATCACTGATCCTGATCCGGATCTGTGTGAAACAAACTGGCCCGTTGATTGAAGAAATGTCCAGTTTTACTTACATTCAGCACAAAACATTAAGACTCTGAGAGTGCTTTTGTTGAACTCTTGTACGGTTCTTCAAACAACTGTCTTGTTTGTGTGGGATGGAGCATGCAGCGGAAGCTCCAAATCAAACACAAGTGGGACTGTACTGTGGGGGGGGGGGAAGGCCTTGCTACCTCAGCACATCCTTGAGCTTGATCACCCTGCAATTTCAAAGCAATCTGGCGGGGCGGACATCCCAGAGAGCACTGTAGAGCACTTGGCATTCTAAATCACTCATCAGGGATGCAAAACAAAAAACTCCAGCAAGCAGACGAGATGAAATGAGACAAGGAAATACAGAGATCAACAGTGGTCCGAAGACCTGTAGGTCTGTCTGGTTTCTTCATTTGCCCAAACAAGTGAATTTTTCCATTAATCAGCTGGGGGCACAGATGTGTCATGTGGAATTGAAATTGATGGAGAATGGCGTGCGTTTGGGTGTGAAGGAAGAAAAACCTCTCATCAAAATACAGAACACTGTGATTTCTCCATCTCTGTGTTACTGTACAGTTGCAATCTGTTTGGCTACCTCATGCAGATTACGCCTTCATGGTATGGGTAGCTACTAAATTTTCATGTTGGCAAGCTTGATGAGGTGGTCGATGTCCAGAGTATGTACCTGCAGATGAGACAAAGATTCCATTCTGTGAGCGAAGATAGTTGTTAAGTTTGTATCGTGCTGTAAATAAATAGTGTCTAGCTAGTCAAGTGTTTGATGATTGTAACAGATAGGTTTTATTAATAGTGGCATTGGTTTCATTGTAGATGTAGATAGTACATGTACAGAGACTAGCTCTGGTTCCTTTGTGGTCCAGTGCTGCACTGGGCTTCTTGTGTAGTCATGGTGCACCAACCACCCACTGGCCTTTGGGTCTTTTCAATATTTCCTGTGCCTTTTAGCCATCAGTGTATTGGTGCTGGTTTGATTGAACATGAGGACATAAGGACATGAGGACAAGCACAGTTGTTATCCCATCTGTGTACATG